CATAAAAAAATTAGAATTATTCTATTTAGTGCCGAAAATTATAATTAAATGATCACAAGTTCTCGTGTGTGTGCATAAAAAATTATAATATATATAAATCGTTTTTTTCTTGTCAAAATTAATATTCTGGACATTTCCGCATATTATATTATTATAAATGAAGTGTGTGGTTAACGCTTTTTTTATTAATAAATAATTGGATATATTAATTACATTTAAAATATATATTAATTTCTATTATTATTTATAATACGAGCTTATAAAGAAGTTTTTTATAGTTCTTTATATATTTTATATTATTTATAATTTTTAATAATTTTAAATCATTTCATATTTATATATTAATTTTCCTCAATAAAATATACCAGCTTTTTGAAATAAATTAATCGAATAATTAATCCTCCGTGAATTCATCATGACATTATATTGTTTCAATCCCGAATTAGGAATTCTTTGAATCTCGCACTCTTTTTACGCGAAACTAGGGCTTTCCATTTTGATGAAATTCTATATTGTTAAAACTGGATTAATTGCGTTATTCGAGAAACTCTTGCCTCTCGAAATTAAAAATTCAGATCGAGTATCAGGGATGATTGGTGGCGAACTATCGATCTTTAGTAATGTGGCTCCTCGGGTATATCAGATCCAAGCCGGTGTGTCGGGACACACGAGAGACTTAAGTCACTTAGGTCGGAGGCACCCGTAATGCATTCACGTAATGCAGGTAGTATAAACCGGAGACGCTGACGTAACCGGGGGCTTTAAATGAATTAAAGCCGAAGGGGGCAAGTGACAGCTCGCCAGACGTCGAGTGTGTTGTTGCTACATGCGTTTCGTTCTTTGTGCGATCATATAGAAATTAGTTTATTGTCCAAGTAATTTTTTCCGAACACACGAAAGAAAAAGCGAGAGAGAATGTGCGATATAGCTTTTGGTGAAGTGCGTCGAAAAAGTTTTGCGACCGAGTGAGCTACGAATGTAAGAAATAATATTGGTTTAGATATATTTAACCCAGAGATGACTCTTAAGTCTGTATTGGAAAAAATTGCATTGGGATTTTTACATGAGCTTTAATTGGAAATTATTATTATTATTAAATTTTAATGTATGTTACGGAGAGAATTTTTGCCTTGGAATTTTTATCCTGAAAATTATGGTAATCGTGGGATAATATGGTATTGGAAGAATTTTTTATAAAAGTTTTTCTCATAAATATTTATTATAATAAAAAATATTAATATGTGCATACACTGAAAAAAATTATTGAATTAATAAATATTTCAATACTGTCTAATAAATAATTTGTTTGAAACAAATAAATATTTATCTGTTTTGAAAAGGATTTTCTTATATCAAATAAATGTTTTTTTCACATCAAGTCAATATTATTAGTTTTAAATAAATTATTTAAAGGCAATATTGAAATAAATATTTATTCGAATTCAATTTTTCTTTTTAGTGTAGTAAAATTATTCGAACATATTTTATTGTGGTAGATATTAATCACAGAAAAAAAAATTCTTATAAAATTCTTCCATTATTGTCCCACTCTGAAAAAAAAAGATTAAATTAATTAAATATTTACTTCAATACTGTCTAATAAATTATTTATTTGAAACCAATAAATATTTATTTGTTTTGGAAAGAATTTTCTTATATCAAATAAATATTTTTTACATTAAATTAATATTATTAATTTCAAATAAATAATTTATTTTGCAGTATTGAAACAAATACTTATTCAAATTCAATAAATTTTTTTCAGTGCCGCAATTACTATGATTATCAGGATAAATTCTAAAAGAAAATTTTCCCGTATATCTATAGATATCTCGAAAGTATTTAATAAAAATGAAAGAAACGAATTCAATATGAAATGGAATACGTCAGGATAATAATTTCCCCGATTAAAGAGAGTGCGAGAGGGGACACTTTAATATCAGCTTCCTGCATCTTTCAATTTGCGCGGATTGCTTTCACTTCCGCGTTTGACGCAATAATCACAACACCGTCCGGTGACAATTTAATCATATGCGAATGTATACCTATCTATATAATTCATTATAATCATCTGGGATATGCTGTGTTTAAGGTGTCTAACAGACAGGGAAATCTGGAAAACCGGGCATTATCAGGGAATTTTAAAAATCTGGAATTGTCAGGAAATTTTACTATTTATCTGGATTTTTCACATTATTCTACATTTGTCTCAATAATTTGAAATTTTTTATTAAATAAATATAAACTTTTTCTCAATTCCCAGAACGCTAATTTTTTGTGTTGTTAAAAATCGATTCATCTACAGCGTGTTCGTTCATTTATATTTTCATCGCCGTGTTATTTTATTTCAATGTATGATATATTTCAAAATATATTATAACATTGCTCAAGAATTATAATATTGTTCAAGAACTTTATTTTAATTCATTTTTTATTAAAAATGTTTTATTTAAAAGTTTTGTCGTGATATTAGATATTAAATATATTAAAATATATGTATTATAATTTGTTGAAATATATTAAAAATAAAATTCAATATAATATAAATAAAAAAGGTGATCATTTAAATAGTTTATAGTGACACGTTTGTTTCGATTATCATACATAATGCAGATTGTACCTAATTGATTAAAATTTTTGTTCTTTTTTTACTTTTGTAACTTGTTTAATATTTTCATCCTTTGACAAAAATATCTCAAGGATTTCATGATTTAACATTTAATTGATTTATCATATAGATATATGCAAATTATATATTTAAAAAAAATTTTTTAAAAGTCAGGGAACAAATTAATTTCTTGGAAAATCTGAAAAAGTCAGAGAAATTTATTTATTGAGTCTGCTAAATACCCTGATACATGTATTATTTGATCATCATTGCTATAATATAAAGAGAATTCTCTCAGGATTTACCCTGCCATATCATGGCAGATATTAATATTTATGTGTCTATCGGGTCTAATAACCGGAGTAGAAACACAATTTACGAAATTTAACCATCACATTATGACTATGTTGGAGGAATATCGCTTATTATTATTATTATTATTTGTCAGTCTTTATATCTATCATTGTATTTTTAATGCGTTACATACTCTATGACATTTTTGACTATGCTTGATGTATATATTTATCGTTATGACACCGTTTATTAGTTTTTTAAATTCAGAATTTATTCAACGTTGATAATGGTCAAAATACTGACCGAAACTTTTGCTTTGTATTTATATTTAAAGAGTACTTATGTGTAATTACTTTTTGTCACCTTTTAATGTAATTCATTATTAGACATTAGATTAAAGAATATTATTTTTTATATATGACTTCACTTTCTAACAAAATTTGAATTTTTATATTTACTGCACTTAACAGCCTTTTATCAAATTTATTAATATTTATATTGTCTCATGATTACTGTGATTTTCAGGGTAAATTCCAAGAAAAAATTCTCTCTGTGTTAATTTTAATAAACATTTTTTTCATTGAATCTGCTGGATACCCTGATACATGTATTATTTTATTATCATTGCTATATACACATATATGAAGAGAATTTTCTCTTCATAAGATTTACCCTGAAAATTATGGAATAATAATCGGGAATATGATATTAAATAATAAATATATGAACATAATAAAATTAATCGAACATATTACGACAGATATTAATATTTATATTATCCCACGATTACTGTGATTTTTAGGATAAATTCTTTCTGTGTTAAAATTTTAATAAAAATTTTTCGAGTCTGCTGAACAGCCTGTGTGTTGAAATTTCTGACAGATATTAATATTTATATTATCCCACGATTACTGTGATTTTCAGGATAAATTCCTTCTGTGTTAAAATTTTAATAAAAATTTTTCGAGTCTGCTGAACAGCCTGTGTGTTGAAATTTCTGACAGATATTAATATTTATATTATCCCACGATTACTGTGATTTTCAGGATAAATTCCTTCTGTATTAAAATTTTAACAAAAATTTTTCGAGTCTGCTGAACAGCCTGTGTGTTGAAATTTCTGACAGATATTAATATTTATATTATCCCACGATTACTGTGATTTTCAGGATAAATTCCTTCTGTGTTAAAATTTTAATAAAAATTTTTCGAGTCTGCTGAACAGCCTGTGTGTTGAAATTTCTGACAGATATTAATATTTATATTATCCCACGATTACTGTGATTTTCAGGATAAATTCCTTCTGTGTTAAAATTTTAATAAAAATTTTTCGAGTCTGCTGAACAGCCTGTGTGTTGAAATTTCTGACAGATATTAATATTTATATTATCCCACGATTACTGTGATTTTCAGGATAAATTCCTTCTGTGTTAAAATTTTAATAAAAATTTTTCGAGTCTGCTGAACAGCCTGTGTGTTGAAATTTCTGACAGATATTAATATTTATATTATCCCGCGATTACTGTGATTTTCAGGATAAATTCCTTCTGTGTTAAAATTTTAATAAAAATTTTTCGAGTCTGCTGAACAGCCTGTGTGTTGAAATTTCTGACAGATATTAATATTTATATTATCCCACGATTACTGTGATTTTCAGGATAAATTCCTTCTGTGTTAAAATTTTAATAAAAATTTTTCGAGTCTGCTGAACAGCCTGTGTGTTGAAATTTCTGACAGATATTAATATTTATATTATCCCACGATTACTGTGATTTTCAGGATAAATTCCTTCTGTGTTAAAATTTTAATAAAAATTTTTCGAGTCTGCTGAACAGCCTGTGTGTTGAAATTTCTGACAGATATTAATATTTATATTATCCCACGATTACTGTGATTTTCAGGATAAATTCCTTCTGTGTTAAAATTTTAATAAAAATTTTTCGAGTCTGCTGAACAGCCTGTGTGTTGAAATTTCTGACAGATATTAATATTTATATTATCCCACGATTACTGTGATTTTCAGGATAAATTCCTTCTGTGTTAAAATTTTAATAAAAATTTTTCGAGTCTGCTGAACAGCCTGTGTGTTGAAATTTCAGAGAGCGAGGTGAGCCTGTGTCGCGGTGGTTCCCTGAAGATTTCACGAACGAGCGAAAGCTCCGATCGCCACGTCGTCGCCCGGGACCGGTCACGCCTGACGAATGCGGAGTCGTCGCCGTCGTCGGCGTCCACGTCGTCGTCGTCGTCGTCGGTCGCGTCGGATAAATGCGCGGGCTGCGACGTCAACAGCAGATCGTCCCGGTCCGCCAGGCGTTACGCACCTGCGAGCGACGCACCTGCGCCGGAGTATCTCGCCAGGAGCCTCCTGCAGCTCGGATGTCCTGCCGTGTCGATGCCAACGTAAGTTATATAGCTGCACGTTTCCGCCCACTTTCTATCTCACTCACTCTCTCCGAGAGATATAGAATATTCATCATAATTGATCTGATTTCGCTGAGGCCGCACAATTTTTCGCTCCAGAGGCCATGGAAAGATCGGGCTCTGCGTCAATCGTCTCATTTACATTGTCATGAATAAATATAGAAGTGATTTACGCGACATACACGCGTTGGTGTGAACTCATTGGAATTATATTGGTCACGATTTAGCTCGACAAATTGTTTATCGCTCGGCGAAGGCGAGAGCGTCGTGGGAAAAAGGACGGGACGGGTGGTTTTCAGTTCGAGGGGTTAGTCCCTGGATTGCGCAATTGCCAGGTAGATGACGTAGTAACAGGGGGATGCGGGAATAATAAAAATATCCCGACCACGTAGAATCGTCCTGCGTTAAGAGCTAGGTGTTTCATTTTCATACGCAGCGTGCTACAGCAGCAAATCAGTGACGTGATCAAAATTTATTAGAGCATATTTCTTTGTTCTCTTGTTATTTTCAAGGTTAAATTTGCGGTTTTTGCATTTTATGTATTTATAATTTATTCTTAAAATCCATTATTTAACTAATATAATAATAATAATTAGATCGTAGTAAGTCAAGGCTCTTATTAAATTCTAATAAATTTGATAAAAGGCTGTTAAGAGCAGTAAATATAAAAATTCAAATTATGTTGGACAGAAAGTCATATATAAAAAAAAAATATTCTTTAATATAATGTTTATTAATAAATTATAATAAAAGATGACAAAAAAGAATTAAAACATAAGTACTCTTTAAATATAAATATAAAGCGAACGTTTCGGTCAATATTTTGACCATTATCAACGCTGATTAAATTCTGAATTTAACAAATAATAAACGGTGTCATATACGGTAATATATAAATCAAGTATAGTAAAAAACGTCATAAAGTATGTAACGCATTAAAATACAATAATGATTAACAATTATTATCGTAAGAGAAAAAGAGAACATGATGTAAAAATGCAGAAAAGCGATATTCCTCCAACATAGTAATAATGTGATGGTTAAAAATCTTAGATTGTGTTTCTACTCCGGTTATTAGACCCGAGGGATACATAATGATTTGAATCATATGATTAGATTGTACCGTAAAAGCAATAGTGTAGGAGGAACATCGATTTTTGAGGTCCGCACGCTTATAATGTCACAGACAAATAATAATTAGAATCAACTATATAGGTGCGTGTTCTTCTATTTTGCTGCCTTTGCTGTTCGTTTATATTTCGTTGTTCTCTTATTATTTCAAGATTAAAATGACGGTTTTTGCTTTTATATGTATTCTCATAATATATCATAATTCATTTTTAAAATCCATTATTTAATTAATATAATAATAATAATAATAATAATTAGAATCAACTAGGTTTTTCTGCTTTGCTGCCTTTGTTGTTCGTTTATATTTCTTTGTCCTCTTATTATTTCAAGATTAAAATTACGGTTTTTGCTTTTATATGTATTCTCATAATATATCATAATTTATTTTTTAAATCCATTATTTAATTAATATAATAATAATAATAATAATTAGAATCAACTAGGTTTTCTGCTTTGCTGCCTTTGTTGTTCGTTTATATTTCTTTGTCCTCTTATTATTTCAAGATTAAAATTACGGTTTTTGCTTTTATATGTATTCTCATAATATATCATAATTTATTTTTTAAATCCATTATTTAATTAATATAATAATAATAATAATAATAATTAGAATCAATTAGGTTCGTGTTCTTCTGCTTTGCTGCCTTTGTTGCTCGTTTATACAATATTTCTTTGTCCTCTTATTATTTCAAGATTAAAATTACGGTTTTTGTTTTTATATGTATTCTCATAATACATCCTAATTTATTCTTAAATTTAGCTAATATAATAATAATAATAATTAGAACCAACTAGATGCGTGTTTTTCCGCTTTGCTGTTCGTTCAATCGAATTTTACCATTAGCAACAAACTGCTGCTGCAGCATGCTGCACATGCACCTTTACGCAATTATGCGTTAGACGAGATGCAGAGGTGGAAGGAACATCTGAATCCGATGCATCTGAAATAAAGTATTGTTCGCGCAAAAAAAGAATCTACCGTTGCGAAATCATAATGAAAAATGATGAATGTAGCAAGATAAGAGCTTTCACCGGCGCAGTACGCGACTGATTGTTGTGTGAACAACATTTGAAGCCGCGTCCCTCGCAACAAACACCTCCTGGACGTGTTTCCAGCCTCCATCGACCCTCCCTTTGTCGGGTCGATCCCGACTTCCGCGATCGCGAGTGGGAACGAACGAGTGGAAGAGCGGGTTGTAAACGGTCCCTCCTTTAACGAGGAAGTCGTTTTCGCGTTGCGAGAGCTAGAGCCTCGTCGGGCAATTAAACGTGCTACGTCTATCGCAAATATAGAGAGGTAGAGATTACGTGGAAAGAGGAAGATGAGAGCCGGCGATGATTTGCGCGAGAGTTTGTAAGCTATAATTTATCTTCTAACATTATGAAAATGTTCAATCTTCTCGGAACAGACTTTTATTAAAATTTTAGGAAAACCAGTTAAAACTTTCTGTTGAAACTTAAGAGTACATATTGTACGACAACCAGGATAAACTATGTATCCTTAAAATAACAGTGGTAAAAAAAATATACGAGTTTATACAAATACATAATAGAAAAAAATACATGTATACGAGCGATGAAAAATATTGACCTTGTAAAATGTACCGCGTTAGATAGATAAAATGCCTCTGGCGAAAAAAAAATAATAAAATACAAAGATAACAAATCAACAAGAGGCCAAGATAGATAGATAGATAGGAAAATAAAGGAAGCGAAGGAAGACGCCGAGGCGGACGTTTGCCAGAAGATTGATCACATAATTCCCGTCGAGGAGTAAAAGGTGAGAGGTGAAGGTATTATTAAATCGCCGAAAATTCGGACGGAAAGGTTCGCCTCGCGCGAGACCTTCTAGACAACTAGAATTCGAGGGACGTCAAACCGGCGATCAGCTGACGGCCATCGCTGTCACCTGCTGGGGTCCGCGTCGGAGGAAGGGAGAGCCTCAGGATTCATCTCGGAGCGGCGCTCGTGCGGACACGAGCCAGCCTTCTGGTTGCTGGTGTGCACCACATCCGTGTACCTAGCCATATAGCCATCGCGATGATATTCGGTCAATAGGTGAGCCGCGAGGCGCAGACGCGCGACGGTACCAACCAGTCCGCCACTTCCGCGCGCGTGTGCGCGCATCCGCTAACTCACGTACACCCGCGAAAGCGGTTGCCGAGAGTAGAGCGGAACACACGCTTCGCGCCGCATTGCCGTATTCATCCTCTCGTCGCCAGGACTCGGCGTCCTGGGAATAATCGACTAGGCGAGGCCCGCGTCTCTGCCTCCTGTTCTGGACTCGTCCTGAACGTCGAGGTCTCCTCCAGGGAGAGAGTGACTCCGCCTGCTGACTCGTGGGAGAACGAGGTCCCGGTGGACCAGGTTCTGGTGACAGTCTTCCTCGGGTGAGACCGAGTCGCAGCGGGATCCGGAACGAAGGAGGAGCCGATCGAGGGCTTCGAGGAAGCAGAAGGGTCTGTTCTTCCCGGAAGGGATAATAGAGGAAAGGTGCTGCCGTCTCGGGTTGAGGGAGAGTGTCTGATTCCGGGCTGCGGTTCGATTCCGAGATCGCTGTTCTGTTTGACTCGCATGTCACGTCAGCGAGAGACGAGAAGCGGAAGGAGGATGCGGGAAGATTAGGATAATTGAAGCTGCGCTTCGCACACGCGTGGGGAAGACCCAGTTCCAGCTCAGGAGGAGGCTTTGCATGTGTCCGTGAAGAGGAGCAACAACGCGGGACAGTGGCGCCTCTCTACTGGACTGCCAGTTACGATAATACTCACCGCAGGTGCGAACAAAGGCCGCATGCGAACCGGCTGCAAAATGTGTCAAAGTAGACGATTCCCAGCTTTTGTCAATCTCCATCGCTTCTGTAGTCGTAATGTGAATTTTTTTGGAGCTTTAGGAAAATATTCAATTTTCTTTTTTTTTACTTATATTCGGTCAAAGTGAATTGACTTGGATTGGCTCGAACGCACTTTTTGGTCCAGATGCTCTGGCAATTTAAAGGAAAAATTCGGAAAATAGATTGATTGAATTTAGCTGACATATAATTTGCTTGAAATCGTAAATAGTCTGAACTCTTCAACTCTAGAGTTGTCGTAAGTCGAGTCTATTATCATTTACAACGTCATCGCTCAACATCCTCGTACACAGAGATATTGCGTTACACAATGTTCGATTTTCGCTCGATTTTCTTCGCAATTGCTTTCAGCCTTATCGCGATTATGCATGCACGACTTTGGAGAACTGTCGACGATTAGTCAACGCCTCCTCGAGTCCTTAGCAAGACCTTACCCAATCCCGGGCAAAGGGTCACGGGTCAGAGATCACGTTCTCAGTTTATCAGTTCTATTAGAAAAGGCGAGGAGTTAATAGGGAAGAAGTAGATCTAAATACCCGAACGTGCTAACTGATTGTGATTCTATCACTTGACAAGATGTAGATCTAACTCCTTGCATGATTTCCACATAGAGCCGACCTATTTTGAACGCTAACACGGATAAGGGAGGAAGCTCATAAATAATTCTGTTTCAACGTAAATTCGTAACATATGCAATAGTATACTATACTATGGTAGATTTAACTTGAAAGTTCAGTGCTTCGTGATTCATTACCGACAAAGGGAATACGGTGCCGCGAACGAAAATATAGTTCGCAAGGTTTTTAACGCGAACAATGAATTCGATTGCTAGATACGAAGTAGGAGAAATCGTTGCATATTGCTACGAAATAAAAAGGCCAACCTTTTTCCCAAGTCAAACGGACTCTGTTGCGGTGATTAATGTTTCGCTGTTGCGACAGAAACGCATATATTATTGCCTTGTCGCGGACACTCTCGTTCGACATGACGAATATGAGAGAAGGAACGGGGAATTTGCGAATTTGTCTTCTCTCGCTCACATTGTATATATATATGTACTGTCATTCTGGAAATATACTTCCGCGATAATGCGCCTGCACTGGCGAAACGCCAGCGATCGATTCCGCAATCTTGTCTCTGCCCTCTGAAAGGGATGATATGAGAATTTCCAGAATGAGAATATCAAAACGGAGAGGACTGAAAGAAAATTGAATTGTGGGAATTGTAAGGGCGTTGAATTTGCAAAATAGAAATTGAGATCGAGTTCGTGTTGCAAATGAGCGAGTGATGCTTTTCAAAGTTTGTTCCATTGAATATTCTATATTTAATAATTACATACAAATTTTCTCTCTTTTCAGAAATATTCATACTTTTAAGTTCAAAATTCATGAAAAAGCTTAATTACGAGAAATTACGTTGCCTTTAATTTATACATTTTCTCGCGGTTCTGCTAAAGAATCATTTACATCTCTCCTAAAAAAAAAAAACGTGACAATTTAAAGGGCTCTTTTGATTTTAAAAAATTAAGTATATTTTAATTGAAATATAATTCCACAATGAACCGTCATTCTAACAAGATGAACGAAAATATTGTTACATTATTGCATTTATACTCGTTCTTCGCGTTTTCCTTTTCGTTCAAAATTTTACAAACGAACGATGAAAATTTTCTTACATTGGAGCTCGGTAAAAAATTTTTTATATATAATTATATATAACTAATTGTATAATTATACATATAATCGTAAAATTATATTTGAAATATGTCCATTTTTATGCATAATTATATAAATTTATATATGAATTATAAGGATTCATATATAACTTGTCAAATTATATATGAAACATATATGTATGAAGAAATATTTATTATATTATATATAAATTTATATAATTATATATAAAAAGCACTTTTATCTAATTCTGTATGATCATATTTCTATATAATTTCATATTGTTATATGTAAAAAATTTTTTACCGGGAGCTTAAGTATCGCTAACACAAAAAGTGGACTCATTTACACGTGACGTCTGCGAAAAGTGTATTTCACGGGTGATTGGAATCTTTCCATCGCTCTCGTTGAAGCGCGAATCGCGCGACTGTCGCGACGAGATGAAGTCAATTAACTCGCGGTTTGGTTAACTCGGCCAGTTAATTCCCGATTCGCGTCGCGATGGGGATTTGCCGCGCTTCTGGCGACAGCTGATCGTGACGTTTTGCCATCGCGACGTCTGTCGTCACGCCCCGAGCATTTCCTTCATTCGCACAAAGAGAATTTTCTCTTAGAATTTACCCTGAAAATCATGATAATCATGGGACAATATAATATTGGGAGAATTTTATGAGTTTCTCTATGATTAATATGCACCACAATAAAAATATTATTATGTACATAGTAAAATTAATCAAACATATTTTCTATATCTTATTGTAATAGATATTAATATTTTTTATTATGGTAAATATTAATCAGAGAAACTCTTATAAAATTCTTTCAATATTGTCCCACAATTACCATGATTTTCAGGGCAAATTCTAAGAGAAAATCTGAGATTTGCGCTATATCTGATCAAAATCCATCATATTTGCAATTTTCGATATTCAGCGTAAATTTTAATATTCATGTGTTATCACAAAAAGAGAAGAAACGAAAGCTATCAACGAATCTTTATTATATTTCCTGTTAAGAATTGTATGTATACTGTAATTTAACTCCGATAATATCATCACATGTATCTATGCATACATATATCTATATTTGTGCATATACATATATCTCTTTCGTCTTTAAGAGTGGATCAATACACATCTGCTGGTGTTATATCGTGCTGTTAATGCGACGGTATAATTGTGCCATCTAAGTCCCACGTTATTAAACCAATCGGTCGAACAAATTAAAATGATATACAGCGTGTCTTACCTTTTAAGCATGCAATCCACACTCGCGCGCGATTAATTAATTTATATATCATCTTATATTTATATTATAATTATTCTTGTCAAAATATGATGCAGATTTCGATGCGGGAAGATAGAATTCGGTCGCTCATCAGTATACGATGACTTCTGTTTCAGACCTCGTGGCGGAATAGGATCGGAGCAGCCGCCGAGTAGTGACAGCGATGATTACGGCACCGCCCATCAACAGGGCGCAGGTGGTTATGGACAAAATTTGGACGTTTACACCGTGCCCAAAGTCCAGGTGTCGGGCCCACCTAACGCCGATGAATCCACTTCCGTCATCAATGGGTGAGTGAACGAACAATGTTGTCCCAAAATGGTTGTTTCTATTTCTGTAGTTAAATTGACAGGTGTCTATAGCGGTCAGGGAAATCTGGAAAACCGGGCACTGTCAGGGAATTTGATAAATTTGGAATTGTCAGGGAAAAGTCAGGAAATTTTGCCGTGATTTTATCTGGTTTATTTCACAATATTTTTTTTGGCTCAATAATCTGAAATTTTTTATTAAATAAATATAAACTCTTCCTTGACTCCCAGCACGCTAATTTTCTGTGTTGTTAAAAATAGATTCAGCTATAGCGTGTTCGTTCGTTTATATTTTCATCGTCGTGTTATTTTATTTCGATGTGTTTGATAGAGACAAAACTAAAAAATTTGATATAATATAAATAAATTTGAAATTTAAATAGTGACATGTTTGTTTCGATTTTTGTACATAATGCAGATTGTATAATTGATTTAAATTTTTGTTTTAACTTCCAAATCTTTTCATCGTTGACAAAAATATGTCAAGGATTTTATGATTTAATATTGAATTGATTTATCATATAGATATATGCAAATTATATATTTGGAAAAAATAATACTAAAAAGTCAGGGAACAAATTAATTTCTGGTCTTGAGAAATCTGACAAAGTCGGGGATTTTTTTCATTGAATCTGCTGGACACCCTGGTTACCCCAAAAATGGTTGTTTCTATTTTCTATAGTTAAATTGACATGAGTGAAATTTAATATATCTAGTGAAAGAGAGAATAATTGAAACCTCGGTTAATTGTAACTAATCTTTATATGAGAGCGAGAGTCAGAGTCCGAGAGAAATGATTAATGATGCTTTGATGAATGTTTATAATTACAAGCATTTTAACTCACTCACAATTAGTGAGAAAGAGACAATAGAAGGAATTTTTAATCTTAAATAAATATTTAAGATTGAATTAACTGATTGGAGGTGTTACACAAACAGTTCGTGTATTTAAATTGATGCATTTATTCTTGGAGTAGAAACGATTTTATAAAAATAATTGCGTGTATATAAACATGAACGATATAATCTCATAAAGATTCTAATCGACAGTTTGTCGCACAGATAATTATGGATATGAAACAGGTTCTCTTTTGAATTAATGATTCTTACATCATGCAGTTTTTACTGCATAATATCTTAATAATACATTTCTAAGATATAAAATATGATTAATGCAATGAGATATTTTGTATAACAAAATAATACTAATAATAATAATAATGAGAATTTACATACTTTGTTTAATTTAATAATTTTTAAAAAATATCGCAAATTTTTATATTACAAATAAAATATCTTTTTTATTATACATTAATGCAAAATTATTCTATTTTTTTAAATTTTATTCTATTTAAATATCTCATATGCATTTCAAAACTCGACGATCAAGATATGTAATATTTTAATTCCAATTTACATTACGAACACCCACAAACTTTGAATTTTTATCACCAAGTATTTTAGCAAAATTGTAATTTTGACTAGGGAATGCGTATATCACAGACAGAATTTATTTTTAGAATTTACCTCGAAAATTACGGTAATCGTGGGATAATATGGTATTGGAAGAATTTTATAAAGGTTTCTCTGTGATTAATATTTACCATAATAACACATATTAATATCTAAAAAATATCCAATTAATTTTACATATTAATATTTTTTATCGTGGTAAATATTAATCAGAAAAATTTATATATAAAATTCTTCCATTACTTACTATACATATTGTCCCACTATTTTACCATGATTTTCAAGCGATTAATTTTACATTAATATTTTTTATCATAAACTCTTAAGAAATTCTTTCAATACTATATATATATCGTCTTACCATTTTACCATGATTTTGAAGGAACATAATTCCAAGAGAAAATTCTCATATACCGACCGATATACGTTTAATCACCATAATAAGCGCGCGTGCGACTTTAATGAGCCGACCACTAGCGGAGTTTCCTCTTGCGAGTGCGTAAATGAGGCGCACAGGTGCTCCGTTGCGAAGTAGCAACCAGATACGCGGCGGATGATAAATGAACGATTGGCGCGTCGCGTTTGATAAGCGCAGCGTCGCCGCGAGATATCGAGCTCGCGCGTTTCGTATATTTTCGTATCGTTCGGTATCTCGCCGCACGTCGCGGCGTTTATAACAAAATCGCCTTCTCTCCTTATCGCGCCGCGAAAAAAAATGATACTTATCGCCCGGCAATTAAAGAGTTCCTCCGCCGATTATTTCACCGGGCGAAGACGCGAAAATTTTCGGTGACGCGATATTCTAAGATTCCCGAGAAAGCGAGGAGAAAGTTCGATCGAGTTGAGTGCGATTTTCCGCGGTGATGATGAGGACTCGCAAAACCAGGACGGCGATGCGAATCCGCCGATTCGCGCTTCGTAACAATAATAAGGAGAGTGCGTCGGTGGTGTCGAGGATCTCTCGAAATTGTAAAATACAATTGTTGAGGAACTACAACGTCGCGTTGCACTGGCTGAGAATTAGGAGATCGGCGATACGCGATGAGGGAATGTCGTGCGTGTTTCAGGAGGAGAAGACGTGTCTACGGATGTGTGAAAGTGCATCGCAATGGTGAGTGCATCGCCGCGATGTTCGTACGAGCTAATTAACGGGAAGAGAAAGAGGAAAAAGTGCTTAGAAATTTGTAATAATTATGGCACGAAAAAAATTAGCTACTATAGCTAAATTTTAGTTGTTCCTATATATATTACACGTGAAATTTAGCTATGATACACTGTAAAAAAATATGTAATATATTACACAAAAATATGTAAAATTACATAAATAATAAGTGTAAAATTACACGATAAATAATAGAAATTTTTACCTTTTTATTATTTATGTAATTTTACATATTTTTAATGTAATTTTACATATTTTTTTACTGTGTAGTTAGTATTTTTTAGCTAGAATTCTCTGTTTAGCTATAGCTAAAAAATATTAGTTACCAAGCTGTCCTAAATTTCAGATTGTAATATAGGGACAGCTAAAATTTAGCTACGGTGGCTAGTTTTTTTTCCGTGAATTATGTAGGGGGAATTATTAAAAAAGCTAATTTTTTTATAAAAACATCTGCAACATATATATACACACGCATTTGCGCGTTTGAAAGTAATTTAGAAGATTTTTTTAAAGACCATTATTCGATATTTCTAATCTTTTACATTTTTATGTTTATGTATACGTGATTAAAATTTTAGTAATTTTTACGGTATAAACTGACGTTTTGTTCTCGCAAAAGCTTATCAATTTACGCAATTAATACTTGACCTGTTTATGTCATCAGTGATGGATGCATCATCGATGAAGTATCCTTTTAAGGAAAGATGATTTGTTCTTTCCCACAAGCCTTTCTTATTAAGATATTAAAGAAGCAAGTAGACGTTAGAGCTAATGAAAATAAATTTTAAACTTATAGTTTTATTTTCTTTAAATGTAGCGTAGCAAAACTTTCCTGTAAAACAGCATTCACTTGGAATTTTATCTAATATATTTGAATAAATAAATATTAAATTACGAATATAATCAATATATATATATATATATATATATATGTATATTAATTATATTCGTAATTTAATATTTATTTATTCAAATATATTAGATCTATTCGTATATAATTTAATATTTATTTATTCAAATATATTAGATCTATTCGTATATAATTTAATATTTATTTATTCAAATATATTACATAAGATTCCAAGTGAATGCTGTTTTACAGGAAAGTTTTGCTACGCTACATTTATATATATGTATATAAGTTTCTGCAAGAAAGAAAATTGTCATTTAGCGAGCAAATGTAATTATCTGACACGTATTTCTTATCGGTTTATTCACAGTGTATTTATTCTACTTATTCTGTTGTTTTTGCCATTAGAGGATTGTTTCACGATAGGAATTGGCGACTTGATAAATGCCCAAAGATACATCCGCAATCTACTGTAATGACCGCATTAGCGGAATAAATAACGAACGTCGATTCGCACGAGTGAATGTGCGTAATATAATGTGCGAATATGTGTGTGCATATGTATCTGCATTAAAAACTGTTCCGAATTCCTAATCTCTACTCATTGTACAAATGCAGCTTCAAGATAGCGAATGAGCGCGATAAGCCATTACACGTTGATCAATATGTTTCACGGGCCGTAAGCAAAACGCCCGTATTTTTAGAGCAATTTTTTTTCACCGTTCAAGGGCGAGATCCGAAAATAAATTGTTAAAGAATTCCTCCATAAGCGTGCCGAGCTACTTTTCAGCTTATTTGCACATTTTTTCGCAAGCAAATATAATGCGTAGATTAACATGAGAATGGAAGAACGGAGATTCTTTTTTGTGCAAATTCATATTGCTAAAACTACATTTTTTAGCGATTTCTTAAATTGCTAATTTTATCTTATTTATTATTAATTTCTTGAAAAATGTAATCTTGTTGAGAATTTCATTTTTTTAACATCTTTCTCTAAGATTACATTTCTTTAAAAATTAAATTTTTCTCAAATTAAATTTCTTTAAGATTAAATTGCTCTACTTATTGTAAAAATACATGAAATTACATAAATAATGTAATTAAATGTAATTTTACGTACTCTTTTTTACAATTATTTTTTACAATCTTTTTCGTTATTATCTGGTATCATATGTACATAACTTTGCATAATTATACATTTTTATCAATAATATTGTATATCAATCATACTTGGCAATGTAGTAATCCCTTTTACGACTTAACTAACTTGTACTAATTTTGTATGTTTATTATATCGATCGTTATAGCGTTAGAAATTGGAACTAAGAATCTTCAAGGATTGAAATTTCTTCGTTGTTTATAGATAATATGCAAATAACTGTGACAGTGAGCGTAATTTATGACAGGGTGATAGATAGATAAGTATGTTTTTATCTGCCATCCACGACACGTCAGGGAACAAATATGAGAATTAGCTTACTAGCGCCAGCCGCGGGA